TGGAATTAGGAGATAGAGTCTTTTGGAGACAACTGGGTTCAGATAAGGGTGAGAGAGTGGAAAAGCCCTCATGATGGGATTACCAATACTTTCATCTTAGGCTTCACAGCCTCCAGAACTGTGAGAGATAAATGTTCTTTTGTTCAACTTACCCAGTCTATGGTATTTTTGTTAAAGCTGACTGAATTAAGACAATGTTATAATTTGTGGTTGAGTACATAATAATCACTGAAGAATCTGATAGTGCTGAAATGGTCTGGGGATACTAAGTCTCTCAAATCAATAAACTAAAACATACATCACAATAAATTAATAAAGCCCAGCAATAAGGAGAACCCAGTCTACCACAAAGCCACACACATCAACAGTGTCTGCTAGGGATGGGGACAGAGCATGCACACAACCCTTCTGAAAAGTAGGTGTGAAGCTGAAAACTGAAGAAAAGCTTTCTGGCATCCCAAACTTCACCCCACACTCAAGACAACATTGGTGAAATGTGAAGCCTTTGGTAGAAAAAAGGTGACTACACAGCAATAACAAAATCCAAATTCAGCCCAACTCCTGACCACACTGACTCAACCTAACAGGAGAGGTGTAATTATTTTCAGGCATCAACACTACTGGACATGCAATCTCCAGTATGAAATATACATAAAACCAAAAACAAACAAATCCCAAAAGCCAAAGCAATCAACAAGCTTCAAGAGAAAATTCCAATGGTAAGCCTATGAGACAAAAACTATGATTAATGTGAGTAGATCTAGTAGAAAAAATGGCAATATGCATGAAAAACGAATTTCAGCAAAGACATGAAAACTAAAAGGGAAAATAAAATGAAATTGCTAAAACTTTTTAAAACACATGATCTGTGACAAAGCATTCTTTTGATGGGCTCATCAAAACACAAATAAAGAAGCAAAAATATGAAAAGAGGTCAACAGAAATGGTTCAAATTAAAACACTACGAAAAAAAAAAAAAGAACAGAGTATCCAAGAGCCACGGGTCAATATCAAATGATGTAGCAAGTATGTAATTGAAGTCATAGGAGAAGAGGATGGATTAAAGAACTATGTATAGAGGTAATAGCTCAACTCTTTTAAAATAACAATAGAAATCAAACCACAAATGTAAGCTCTGAAAATTACAAAAAAGATTTTTGAAAACAAGATTCCCTAACACATACCTTGCTTTTACACTGCTAAGACCAAAGAAAAAGAGAAAAATCTCAACCATCTGCAAGCTAAGGACAGAGGACTCAGAAGAAATCAAACCTGTGTACACTTTGATTTCATATTTCCAGGTTCTAGAATTACATGAAAAAGAACTTGTAAAGTTTATACCACCCACTCTGTGGTATTTTGTTATGAAAGCCCTAGCAAATGAATACACCATATACCAAAAATAGAAAAAAAATTAGAAAAAATTAAAAGAAAACCGTAGATCACTATCACTCACAAAGAAAAAAAAAAACTTTTTCAAAAATCCAATAATATATTTTAAATAATGCATACAAATTGGAATGAAAGGAAAAAACTATTTGCAGTTAACCCCGCTATCTTAGAAAATCCCATCTTCTACCAAAAAACAATTCAAGTGAATTTTAAAATTCACAGGATATAAATAAGGTCAATATACAAAAATAAACTGCATTGCTATATGCTCGAAACAATTAGAAACCAAAATTAAAATAACATTTACAACAGCATCAAAAGCATGAAATACTTAGTGACAAATTTAACAAAATATTTTCTTCTACAAGATTTAGTTCTCTTATGTCTATAACCCATTTCAAGCCAGCTTTTATATATTTTATATATATACACATATATACGGGTATATATATGTTTGCGTGTGTACACACATACTCACACACACACACACACACACACACACACACTGTATGTTGTAAAGGCTGAAGGCTTCCCCCACCCTCCCATGGATGTCTGATTATCATATTTAGGACCTCTTTAATTTCAATTTGCAAAACTTAGGTAGTTGAAAGTAAAAGGTGTTGCTCAGAGAAATTAATGAAGACCTAATAATTGAAGAAACACACTATGTTTATGAATCAAACAATTCAATATCTTTAAGATGCCAAGTTTTTCTAAATTGAGTAATAGACTGAAAGAAACCCAAATTAAGAGCCTCCATCCTCTTTAATACAAAATGACAAGCAGTGAGCATGCTGGCGCACACCTATAATTCCAGCAATTCTGCAAGGCTGAGGCAGGAGGACAGCAAATTTCAGGCCAGTCTCATCAATTCAGCCAGGACCCTGTCTCAAAATAAAAAGGMCTGGGGATGTAGCTCAGTGATAAACCATCCGTGAGTTCAATGCTCCCAGGAAAGAAAGAAAAGAAGGAAGGAAGGAGAAGAGGAGAGACAGAGAAAGGGAGGGAGAAAAACAAACAGACAGGCAGGCAGGCAGGCAATTTTTTTTCTTTATGGTTCTAGGGATCCCATGCAGGGCCCTGTGCATGCTAAAGAAGCACTCTATCACTGAGTTATGCCCTCAGCCCTCACAAATAATTTTTAAATGTATGTGGGAATGGAAAGAACCTTAATAACCAAAACAATTTTGAAAATACAGGAACAAAATTATACTGATTTCAAGATTAATAGTTATAAATCAGTATAGTAATGGTGTAGAGAAAAACATATAAATCAATAGAACAGAATACAAATTCCATAAAATTCATACATAAATAGCTAATTTGAAGAGAGGTACTAAGAAACCCTAATGAACAAAGATGGTCTATTCAACAATTGGTGCTAGGATAATCAGATTCCATGGATAATGAAAGGAGGTGGATCTCAGCCATAAGAAACGTATAAATCTTCTAGAAGAAAATCTCTGTGACTTCATGCTAGACAACAATTTCTTAGAAAAAAAATCACAAACAATAAAAGAAAAAAAATCAATAAACTAGACTTTTTTTTGGCCATTGAAGAAAACTAGGGAAAAAATGAAAAGGTAAACAACAGACTGGGAAAAAATTATCACACTACCTAAGACTGACAAGACATGTAACCAGAATCTAAAATGAACCCTTACAAGTCAAAATGACAAGCAACTTAGGAGAAAAATGGGCAAGAGGTTAGAACAGATGCTTCATAAAAGATATGCAAATAAAAAATAAGTAGTTGACTTATGCTCAACACCATTAGTTATTAAGGTAATGAAAATTATGACAAAACCACCATATATCCACTAGTGATTAAAATTTAAAAGGCTGAAAACACAAAATGTGGGCAAGGATGTAAAACAATTACAATTTTTTTTTTTATGTTGCTAGTAAAAAATGCAAAGGGGTACAGCAACTTCAGAAAAACTTTTGCAGTTTCATTCATTCATTCATTCTGCAATACTGGGAGATGAACCCAGGGGCGATACTGAGCCACATCTCCAGCCCTTTTTCTATCTTTTATTCTGAGATAATCTCACCAAGCCCTTGAGGTTGGCCTTGAACTTGTAGTCCTTCTGCCTCAGACTCCTGACTGCTGGCACACCTGTGTGCCATGAAGCTGGGAGGGGAGATCAATGATGGATGTCAGGTGCTCTTACATTCCTCTCTAATTCCTTACAGCTTTAACTGTAGTACACTGAAACTAAGATGGTGCCTGGCAGATGATGAATGTCAAATAAGTATCTGGTGAATGACTGAATGACTAATTTCCTCATTTTTCACATCTACACTACTTTAGAGACCTATGTGGATACAGGCATGTTCGCTTTCTTTTATTCAACTGAAAATTGAAATGTGAATGTTCTAAAAACAATAACTAAATCCCACGAGCTCCCAATTTGTTTTATTAGCTTCTACTTCAGCATGCGGCACTATTAATTGGGTAAAAAAGCAAACATCTCTTAGATATACTTTAAATTATTTATACATAACACTCACAATTATAGTCCAATTTCAATGAAAAATGAATTCTGAATCCAGAACAATTGAATATAAATGTAGAAATATGAATAAAAACATTATTGTTTTTCTGCAATAAACAGAAATCTCCTATTTCCAATTTCTAGCCCTATCATAGTTAAAATACCAAATCTGGCCCCCTTCACCCCTGAAGTGAATCGACTTCCCCAGTAACGACTGCAAGTCAACTTCCTAGGTTATTAATATTCTAAGTCAATCAACTTACTCCAGAGAAAAGACACAAAGCCCTACCAGTTCTTAATCAGCAAAAAGCAATTACTCTCTCGTAATCCTACAAAGAATAACTAAAACAAATGAGAATTTCAAACTCTGTCCAAGACTATCCACTCCATCTTTCACTAAATGCGGTAAGCCCCACTACACCAAATATGACTGAATATTACTTTGTATCATTCAAGATGCTAAACATGACAACAAAATGTCTCTACCTGAGCATCCCTCAGGCCAGAAGTTTCAGTATACTGTTACACAGCATGCTGTAATAAAGATACATGTGACACATAGATATTTAATAAATGTGGATCTCTCGTTCAAGTTATTCAGTTGAAAAGTGGACCTTTCCTGAACAGACTGACTACAGTATCCTCCACACATKGTCAAGTGCCTTTTAAAATAGGACATATTTACACGTAGCCAAAATGGGTATTTAAAGACTACTTAAAACATCCCTACCCATGTTTAGAGCATCATCTACCATATTTACAATAAGCAGATTTTGACCAGCAATTCCACCCCACTACTTGTAGCTGAACAAGTATCCCAGACTAGGCGCTTTGTCCGCCAAATAGCCAAAAAATTCAAAACCCAATTTCCGTGCCCAAATTTCTTCTTTTCTCCACCATCATTTATTTGCCCCCCCCCATTCCCTAAACTCCCTGCACTTCCTGCCCACCGCACTTAGCGCTCTTCACTTTCACCCCCGCTTCCCCGCCCCTAACCAGACCCTGCACAGCACCAGGGTCCCGGCTCTCCAGAGGCCGCCCCCGCCGGAGCCCCCCAGACCGAGCAGCGGGAACGCACAGTTGAGCGAGGGGGCTGCTCCTCAGACCCACCATACGAAGTCGTTGCTTTTGTCCTCGTAAGAGTTGATGAGCCCGTTGCAGAGGGGCGCGAGCAGAGGACGCTTCCTGCTGCCGCTGCCCAGGCTGGAGCTGCTCCCTCCTACGCCGGCGCTGGGCCTGGCCGCGCAGCTGAGCCGGGACAGGCCCGCGGACACCGCCCCGCCGCCGCTCGCGCCGCCGCTGCCCGACACCGCTGCCGCCACCAGCACAGGCCGCACCGGGCCGCCGAGACCGCCCGAACCCGCGGCCTGCGCTGCCCCGCCGGACCCCAGCGCCGCCGCCGAGGCCGCCACGGAAGGCGGCGATGGGGACGAGGATAAGGACGAGGAGGCGGAAGTCACCGAGGAGGCCGCCGACGAGCCGGGGCTCGTCCCCGCGGAGCCCGACCCGGCCTGGCGGCTACCGGACATCGTGACTCCCGCCCCTCCGGCCGGGCGCTCGGAGGCGAGGGACCGCGACCGCGACCCTCCGCCGCGCCCCTCCCCTCAGCTCAGTGCATCCCGAGGACGCGCGCCGGGAGGTGGGGCTGAAGAACAATAAAGTTGGGGGTCTCAAGGCAACCGCACCACAGCGCCCGACGCGAGGGGGCGGAGGGAACTAATCAGGCAAAGCTACAGCCGCTCTCGAGGCCGCCGCCGCGGTCCCCGTAGCAGCCAACCCCGGAGGGCCGTGCGCGCGCGAGCGGCGGAAGGGGCGGGGCGGCGGGTCTCTGCACGCCGCGGGCGGCGTCGGGCGCGCACGGCGGCTGCGTCGGCTGGAGACCCCCTGTGGGGACCTCTTTTCGCCCGTGACGTGCAGGAGGGCCGGCTGATTTAAAGGGGCGAAAGAGTTAGAAGGGAGCGGGGTGGATGGCAGGGTAGGGGTTGGTTGGGAGGATCGGGAAGGGGCTCCTGAGGCGAATGCGCACGCGCACCTTGGGCGCCGACGCTTGAGGTTTCCCCGGGTGTCCGCCGGGGGAGCGCGGAGTCGCCGCGTCACGCATGCGCRAGAGCGAGCGCGCCGCGTTCCTGAACGCGCCCGGGAGCTGTGGAGAACGCCGTCTCCCGGGACGCGGGCGGTGTGTCCTGTGGGCCGGGCACGACAGGAGCTTCCACATCATGAAAGGGAATCGCTATGGGCCGGGGACACACGGGCGAAGCCACAATCCCGGAGCAGTTATAAGCGCATTGGACAGAATCGCCTGCTCCCGGCCCTGCTGGTCCTGGGCGATTCCGCGGCGTCGCGGGCAGCAAACCGAGATGTAGTCAGTGAAAGGCGTTAAGGTAGCTCAGTCAGAACCCGGCTCAGTGTGGGTCTGTTGTGGTTCTAACAGAACCAGGTCACCTCAATTAATACCACCACCAGGAAAGGCACCGTTTCTGGTAGATTTCCTTTGAGTGTTAAAAATTGGTGGCAGGGGCTGGGGATGTGGCTCAAGCGGTAGCGCGCTCGCCTGGCATGCGTGCGGCCCGGGTTCGATCCTCAGCACCACATACCAACGAAGATGTTGTGTCCGCCAAAAACTAAAAAAATATATGTATATATTAAAAAATTCTCCCTCCTCCCTCCTCCCTCCTCTCTAAAAAAAAAAAAAAATGATGGCAGATTTTCACTTGCTGCTTTGCGAACCCCTAAGATTCTGGGGGACGTAAATTTGAAACAACCACAACCGAAGTGGATGATTCTCTGTTTCCTTTTCTTTCCAACTTTATCGTTCCGTGATTCCCACAGGAAATCCCCGATTTAATTCTGTCCTAGGTGCTGGAACTTGTAAGAGGAATTAGGAACTAGGAATAACAACTCCGCGAAAGGCAGCAGAGCCAGGGAGGCGCCAGGAGGAAGGCCYATTAGCCTGGACCTGGCTGTTAACCTGACAGCAAACCAGTCTGACACTGTCACCCTCCTCTGTGCTTTAGCCTACTCATATCTCCAGATTCTTGGACCTAGCTCAGATTTCTGCTCAGAATAATGACATAGGAATCAGCTTATCAGGTTTCTGAGAATGACCCTTCTTATAAAAATACTGCATTATTGAACCTCTTATAAATTCACTTTCAAGATCCAAACGAAAGTGGGCAGACTTTCCTTGGCAGAGATAGTTGTACTCGTTCTTCTGCTCTAGGGTACTTTGTTCCCATGTATAGCATTATAGTTTAGTGGTTTATATATAATTCTCCTCCCAAACCTATCAGCCTCAGCTTTGTATTGAACACAATGCCTGGCTTATGACAGGTACTTAAACAGTTTACTAAAAAAAGAATAGAGCTATTGATCATCTTATTTTTTATCTCATTAATGTCTTTCCAACTAAAATATATGTCCTATGAAAGCAAGGAACATATTTGTTCTCATTGGGCATTCAATAATTATTTGATGTAGGAATGCATAAATAAATTTGCTCAGTATTTTGAACACTTACTAGACATAAGTCTGGACTAGACAAAGAAGAGAAAGGAGTTAACAAAATATTGTTCCTACATTCAGGAAGCTAACAGGGTAACTGGGGAATTAGAAAAATAAAAGATAATACCAAGGTGCACATGCATATTTTTTATTACAAAAGGCATAGAATCACCAGAAGAGCTGGAAAAAGTAAGTTCTGAGGGCCAGCCAAGTTGGTGGGAGAAGGAATCAGGCCTTAAGAGAAAAATATAATTTGGTCAATTAACATCATGAGCCCAGAAAATAAAATKCTTACATCAAGTTCACATATCTGTTTGGTAGAGGTAGACGTTTATTCCAGAGATATGTATTCGGGAGCTAGATGGTAAAGAGCCTTGAATCTAGTTTGTAAGGTAGTCTGTAAACAGTTGGGAACAGGCAGTAAGTGAGATAAAAAGTCTTTATTAGATTAAGTTTCAGAAGATGCGGGATATTAGAGAGCAAAGAGTCTAATTAGGAAAAATTGTACCGGTTTATTCGTAAGTGTGAAGATTATAGATTAAGGTGATAACAAGGTAAGTTAGGGACTATTCTGAGAAAACAAGTAAAGAACAATAGAATTAAGTTACTCCCTGTAAAAGAATCTTTTAGACCCTAGAGGTCATTAACCAGTTCTGCCTTTTTAAAATAATTTCTTCTTTAGTGCTCTACATAATAGCCAATGTATTATATCAAAATGATGGAACACATGGGCTGGGGATGTGGCTCAAGCGGTAGGGCGCTCGCCTGGCATGCGTGCGGCCCGGGTTCGATCCTCAGCACCACATACAAACAAAGATGTTGTGTCCGCCGAAAACTAAAAAATAAATATTAAAAAAAAAAATGATGGAACACAAAGACATGACAACAGAGTTGGAGACATCTGGTGGATAGTTTAATTTGGGATCTCTTGAGTGAGTGTGGGAAGAAAAACATTCAAGTAAACATATCCAGATAGAGACTGATAACACAAAGCTCTGTCCCAGGAGAATATTCAATATATGAGAGAAATATTTGGAATATAATAAGGAGATAGTGTATCAATCATCAAGTGTATTTAAGGACCAGTGAGCTATATTAGTCCATTTTGTGTTGCTATGACAAAATACCTGAGGGTACCCATAACATAAACAAAAGAGGTTTATTTTACTCACTATTATAAGGGCTGGAAAGTCCAAAATTGGATAGCTATATTTATTTTGGCTCCTGATAAGGACCTCACTGACCTGATCTCAACATACTGGAGAAGCAGAAAGGAAAATAGCCCTGTGCAGAAGGGGCCAAGCAGGTGGGGTGGTCTTGCTCTATAAACAACATGCTCTTGAGAGAACAGCTTGTTCTCACTTTTCAAGACCAGCATAATGGGTTTCTAGCCAGGACCCCCCATAACTTAGTTACCTTCTGCTCCACTGCTCCACTTCAATACCACCACACTGGGAACCAAACTTTTAACACAGGAAGTTGGGGGACACACTCAAACTAAACCATGAACATTTTGCTATACCCACAATTCTCAAACATTGTTCCAGAGAAGGAACATCTAGAAAGTTTGTTAAAAACTGAATATTCATGAGCTTCACCTCCAGAAATTCTGACTCTTTGGACCTGGGGTATGGCTCAGTAATATGCATTTTTACCAGCACCCAGGTGGATCTGATGCAGATAACTAACCCTTTGAAAACACTGATTGATAATGCAGGGAATGTAAATTAAATGTGTGAAATAGTCTATTCTTTCCGAATAGCCTCTTCAGGAGACAAATATGGCCCAAACAGAGAAGTCTCTTAGGAACAATTCATCAATTCTTGGTATTACCTCTTTGGGATCTGTCTTCAGAGCAGTCTTAATTGGTAAACTGAAGCTGATGGAATATGATGCAATAGAATTTCCCTTTGTACAAGATAAACATGTAAAGACTGTGTGAAAGTACACAGTCCTTATTAGTTTCTACTGGCAACATCTATTGGGAAAGCAGAAGAAAAAAAGAGGAAGCGTGGCAAAACACACACAAAAAAAAAAGAAGAAGAAAAGGAAGTCAGACAACTTAGGAGAAATGCAAATAGAAAAAAAAATATTTTAAAAATGAGAGTAAATATAAGATAAAACTTAAGCCCAAATAGTTAAAAAAATTACATAATGTTATTAAATGTACTAATCCTATGAACCACAAAAATGATCAATGAAAACATGGTCTACTAGTGAAGGAGTTAAGATTGAAATGGAGTTACCAAGAGGATGGAACTTCCTGGGTATATTTCTCAAGTGTCACATATAATATATACATATAAATAATATAGAAAGGTATATGTTTATAATACTTTAGGGAGATAAGTCTGCTGGTTTCCATCTTCAGTTGGTCCTACCCTTTGGTAAACAGTCATCCAAAAGGATAAGCTTAAAAAGCTTATCTGCCTAACTCACCTGGAGGGTTTGCTGCCTGTTTACCCAGGTTGCTCTGCTGTCCAACCAAATCTCAAACAATTGCTTTCTGTTTTGTTTTTTTAATTTAATGTGGTTGCTATATTGAAACAAATTAGTGGTGTGAAATAAACTAAATCTGGTGTTAAAAAGCTAAACTGAAAAAAAAATGAGAAACATTATATTTTGTGTGTAAATGAACAAAATAGAGATGTTTTTGTGAATCCAATGGTAAAATAATGCATCTGGCAGAAAATAATCCATAATATATTCATAAAATGAAAAGCTCCAATTTATTCATTTAAAAACATGTAGCTGGGCACAGTGGTACATGCCTGTAATCCCAGCAGCTCCGGAGGCTGAGGCAGGGGAATCACAAGTTCAAAACCAGCCTCAGCAATGTCTGGGTACTAAGCAACTCAGTGAGACCCTGACTCTAAAGCAAAATAGGGCTGGAGATCTAGCTCAGTGGTTGAGTGCCCTTCAGTTCAATCCCCAGTACCCACCAACCCCCCAAAAAAAAGTAAAAAAATTAAAACAGACTATAGAGAACTATAATATCTTAAGCTTATTATTTGAAGACAAACCCTTTTTCAAAAATGTCTGTCCTACTGTTTTCGCTGTATAGTTTCATCATTTCGCTTTTTATAAAATTACAAGCATTTTTTAGAGAAGATAAATAACACTGGTACTCTAATAAATCAGTCACTATAATTTTTTTAAAAGAGAGAGAGAGAATTTCAATATTTATATTTTAGTTTTTGGCAGACACAACATCTTTGTATGTGGTGCTGAGGATCAAACCTGGGCCGCATGCATGCCAGGTGAGCACGCTACCGCTTGAGCCACATCCCCAGCCC